GTCCGGGGGCCGCGACGCTTTTAATGTGTCGCATGCTTTATCAATTACAGAAACGCGGCTAAAATAAACGAGCTGATGGTTTTTCTTCTTGTTTTGGCTCGCAAATGTACGCCGCCTCAGGGCAAGGTCGAATTAATCCTTCGCGGTTTGGGGTCATGTACGGCTAACGAATCCCGGCGAGCAACCCTCGGCGGACCCAAGCTCCGCTTCTTTGGTCCAAGACTGGTTTTGGTTTAGATAGTTGATTCGGACGCGTCCGAGTTCATAATTTCGTACAGAGGTTTCGGTTTTCGGACGATTGGCGTTACTCATACTTTGCAAAAATGTTCGCTAGAATGATTGAGTGCGTTCGAAATATATTCAGTGTTTGTTTAATATTTCATGTATTGGAGAAATTTATTGGTATTATATTTATTGTATTATATTATAATATAATAATATAATATAATTTATTATAAATTATAATATAATATAATATAATTTATTGTATTATATTTATCGTATCCAAAGTCTTCCAATAATTTATCTTGACATTTTCGCCGACTAATACTTTATTGGCCAAAAGATAAGAACAATCGTTGTCTCATTCGAATTTTATTTGAAATATCATTTATTCTAATCTACATTTTAACTTGTTTTTTCAGTGATGACAATTTTGAATGAATCGCTTTTCAACAACGGTGCTATTGCGTTAGATGCGAAAGTTATGTCCTTGGAATGCATTTGTAATAATCTGCGGTGTCGTGATAATATTCGACTATTGCAACTGATACGTGTTCACATTAGTGTTATGTATTGTGTAGTATCACTAAAGGCTACGTGTTTACAACAACGCGAAATGTACATTTTGTCTTGAAGCAAAATTTAGAATGAATAGTCCTCGGATTGTTATGTAAAATAAAAAATAGTCACAGTTAATTGTAAGAAACATAAGTTGGATGAAGTAGTCTTTCCTCGTTTTCTAAGTTCATGAGAGGGTTGAAGAATGACACAACCTTGACAAGGGAACATCCCCTTATAATACAAAAGATTAACGTCTACAAAATGTTGGCAACGCCGGCTCAGATTAAAGCATATCGAATCCCCGTTGCTAATCCCATCGCACGAACAACAACAACAGACTGGTATCAGAGCTGTTGGCAATCGGTGTTGCAAAACGGCGCCGCGAAGGGTTAATTTCTGGTTTAATAACAAAGATCGTCCGCCGCGATTATTCCTGTTTGGATGCAACGGCACGATCCGATCGGGCCAATAAGCCACGTTCGAAGATATCGAACTGCCGGAATTACCGTTTCAGATTGTATTTATATTCAGCGAGCGTCTGGCTGATAAAGCGTCGAGTAGAATATTCAATCAACTGTGGGGGGGGGGGGATGCGGAGAGAGGGTGCAGGCAGCAGCAGCAGCCAGCATCCCGCCGGCAAGATGCTGAAGGTGACGGTGAAACGATCCCGAGCAACCGTGGATAGTAAGCCTGTTGATCGACGCTGCTTGCGCATTCCTCGCGAGGACTAAAGGAATAATGTCGCCAATAGCAAGGGTAAACGATTCCCCGCTTTTTGCGTATTTACGTCGGCCATGGGGAGCGAGACGGGTAATTAGATGTGAAAGTCACCCCTTCTCGGATCTCCCTCGGTTCTCCATCTATCTTCATTTCGCCGGCGATTTGCACGCCCGGAGGTACACGGACGTGATTCGATATTCTTCGTTTTTTAGGGGAAAAATGTGACTTCCTCTATTTACTTTAATGTTCAACGTTATTGGGAACTCGAGCTATGTACAGTAATACCTCTCGGAAATGCTCGGAGGTCGGAATTGAAACCGGCAGATCTGAGAATACTAAGTCGCGATTCTTCGAGCCTTGCGGCTCGTTTTCGTAGAAACTCGGGGAAGTCGGCAAACAAAGGCAGCGGCCAGCATTAGGGTGTACATTAACCTATTTGCATCATATGGAAATATGAAAAAAGGCCCGTATCATCGAAAAAATTTTATTTTATATTTAGGTGTAAAATTGTATAAAAGTGAAAAAGAATCATTTTTCAGCATTATTTGTTAGAAATTTTGTTCAGTGTGGTAATATCTGAAATGTGGGATGCATATAGACACTTCACAATTTTCACATTAATTCATTTTTTTCTTCCCACTCGAATTCACTATCACTATCATCGCTATCGCATCTTGTTTCTCTAATTCGTCTTCTTTTTAGCGGCCTAATTTTTTCTGCACTACAATCAGAAAAACTGCTTTCAGATTTCAGAATTCCATCCATTTCTATTTTTAAGGTTACGAATAAGTTTAGTGACTAACAAATTTCAGTATCTGCACAGCACCGGCGATAGTGATTGCAGAGATAACAAAGAGTGTGTGTAGCAGTTATCAGTATCGGTGCTTGTCTCTGCGATCTTATACTGTGTGTATTTTATTAATTAAATATTTGGATACAATACCGAACGCAGCCGCGTATATATACGTTCCGGTGATAGTGACCAGGAAAATCGAGCGTATATATACGCTTATGATGCAAATGGGTTAATATGAATACAATAATTTCTCCCGGAAATGCCAAATTTCGGGTTGCTGTGAATTTCCCTGTGATAGTCCTAAGCCTATGCAATGTTCGAATAATATTCGAATAAAATTAAAATTCGAATCGTGTCATGTGGTCTCTGAATTGTCTTTGAATAGTGGCATGTGGCCCACGAATTGCCTTCGAATCGTGGCAAAAATCTAGAAATAAAAAAATTAAGTCATCGTTTTGTCCGTTACCTTTTCTTGCTGACTATTCCGAGTCACTATAATGATGGCCTAGACAACAAGTAAGTCGCGGCGATATAAACAAGGCGGCCGTTTTGTGCATGAATTGCGGGTCGTTCACCTGGGCCGGCGTCGAGCTCGACAGCTGAGCACGACGTTGTGTACAAAAACTAACGTTGCGCGAGCTTTCTTATGCACCGACCCAGGTGACACGAGTAAAACTCTAAAAGAGCGGTTTGAATTTTAGACAGATGTTTTTTTTTTTTTTTACTCCACTAAAATTTAATGTAGCAATATATTAGGTCTACCGGAAAGTTCTATCCGTTTTTGGATTGAAATATAACACAATTTTCATATATTTGATAATATTTATTGTAGAATATACTTTCCATCGTTACTTATGTCTTCTTGCCAGCGTGATGGCAACTTGTAAATGCCATTTTTAAAAAATGATTCATTTTTAGAGGCGAAGAGCTCAACTAGTGCTTGCTTGACATCAGCTTCAGTTTCGAATTTTTTTCCTGTAAAAAGTTTTGCAAAGAGAGAAACAAGTGATAATCGGAGGGTGCTAGGTCTGGGGAGTATGGTGGATGCGACAGAATTTCCCAGCCTAACTCTGCGATTTTCTGACGAGTCGCCAAAGCAGCATGTGGTCTGGCATTATCATCGGTAGCCACGTTTTCACGATCGCGTCTCGCTTAATAATGACACGAGACATCTTTGTTTCGGTTTATTTAGGAGAGTACATGTGCGTAAATGCAATGATAAAGAGAGATAGTCATATATGTCTCAAATCAACATGTGCATATGGATTGAAACTTGAAGCGACGCTATCGGACAGAACTTTCCGGTAGACCTAATACATCTTAAATATTTATTTCCGTTCTTATATTGTGATATAGAAAAATCAAATGCTTCGATTTAATAGAAATGAATAACATTCATATGTTGTAAATTACATATGAAATCTTCGTTATGAGACTGACTCGTTATTCTACGCGAAAAGGTTAATACGTCGACTATAATAATAATGTCATGAGACATCTTTGTTTCAGATTATTTAGGAGAGTACATGCGTGTAAATGCAACGATAAAGAGAGATAGTCATATATGTCTCAAATGAACATGTGCATATGGATTGAAACTTGAAGTGACAATATCGGACAGAACTTTCCGGTGGACCTAATATTTAGTATAATCGTGAAGTGTTCGTGACACGAAAATTTTTTAACATTCTATTGATTTTTAGTACTATTAAGTTTTGATATGGGAAAATATTGGAAAGGGACATATTGTCTATGCACGTACCTGTTTCGACGTACATTATTTTTATAGAACACGTAACGGGCTTACGGCTCGTACATTTCTTAACGTACCATTGATTTTTAATTCAACTCTATATAGAAAAATATTGGACAGCGACACGGGCGTGTTGCGATATACTTTATTTATAGTAAACAGGTAACGTGCTAATGGCTCGAACATTTTTTAATCTTCTATCGATTTTCAATTCTACTGAATTTTTATACGGCGTATTAATAGAATGGGACAAAGACATTTGTTTTTAGCGGAAACGTAACTCTTATAACGCGCGCATTCTATTTATTTTTCAATTCTCCGAAACTTCAACATGGCGAAATACGGATTTATTGAAAGGGAAGGTACGAGTAATTAGACCCTCTATGTACTCGGTAAAACCGTAACTTCCAATTGAATTAAGTCTTTCGTCGTTTACGATGTTGTACAGCATAGCGAAAACTTCAAATTGAATTTAACAAGTATAAATATCATTCTATCCACGCAAGGCGAAAGCAAACAGAACTCTGCGCTTATGAATATTTAACTTTTCCAGCAAGCATACATGAAGCATACACGTAATCTTGCTGGCATAGTCGCGAAATAAATTATGAGGCGGTAGTTTATAATAAACTTACATTTTCTAATTTATACGTACACGAATAACAACTTTAAAATAAATGCAACACCGTATTAAATGTTGATCAGATATTTGGACCGGCAGGGACCCGATCGTAATTCGAGACCTTCCTCGATCGATCCGAAATTTACGTTTCACCTGGGCAATATTTCCGGCCGCTTTAAGAGGAATCGTTCGGCCGTTGGTTATTTTATGGAGTCGCAGATCGAACCCCTTGAATGTTCAGACCATCGGCAATAAAGTGTCGAGTGGAAAAAGAGCTAGTTTCTATATCGAGATCAAAGATAAATCAACGGGCAATCGTTACTAACCTGAACATCTTTGGTGAACTGGTTGTTGCAGTAGATGTGGATGGCCGAGAATTCTCTGACCTTGTCGAACTCGAACTTGATCTCGACCGGCTGCGTACGGGTGTCGTTCCTCCAGCCGACCCAACCCTGCGTGCGATCGTTATCGTAATATCCCAGTTTGAAGTTGTCGGGCCCCGTTTTGCCGTCCGTCAGCTGGCCCAGGCCACGGCGCAACTCCCCGTCCCATACCCCGTCGTAGGTGACGTCGAAGAATTCCCATCCATTACCCCTTTTATCGCCCTGCGGCATCGAGTAGGATACCACCCCATCTAAGGCAAAAAGGTCAAGGTGTAAAGTCGGTGCCCGGTGGTTGATGGCCCACCTTTTAATGACTCGCGTAAAAGCCGGGGCTTTTGTCAGCGGACATTGTTACGATCGCTTCGAAGGGACTTCGATTCGTCGCGAAACGCCTACTCTGGGAGAAGATAGAAATCGTCAACTGTAAAACTTCTCCGCTTTTATTGGCAATTTCATTGACAGGAGCATTGCGAGTACATTGTTCAGATAATTGTGAAATGCAAGATTCGTATTTCGCACTTATGTGAAATAATCTTACTCGTTTAACCTTTTAGGTACGGCTGAATTCTGCGCGAGGCTATTTCTTTGGACGGTAGAGTCTGATGTGTACTGTAAACAGTCTGATACTGTATATACAGGGTGTCCCAAAAATGTCTCGCAATCCGAAAGTGGCGGGTTCCTCAGGCCATTTGAAGCAACTTTTTCCTTTACAAAAATTTTCTCCGAGGCACCGTTAACGAGTTATGAACGAAAAACAGTGACCAATGAGAGGCGAGCTCGGCTGGCGCGAGGCGATCGAGCCAATGAGCGGAACTAGGCTTTGCGCGCTGGTTGGATGGGCCGTCTCGCGTCAGCCGTACTCGATTCTTATTGGTCACTGTTTTTCGTTAGTAACTCGTTAACGGTGCCTCGGAGAACATTTTTGTGAAGGAAGAAGTTGCTTCCAATGATCCGAGGAACCCGCCCTTTCCGAATTGCGAGACATTTTTGGGACACCCTGTAGACTGTTGTAAATCGATGCGAAGACAAAAGAAGTGTGAAACAATGCATATGAAGACGATTATTTGGTTCAAACGATGAGCGAGTGAGCTACTAGAGCAAGCCACTATAATGGCGCGTCGTCCAGTGTGATGACATCCGCGAAAGCCACTGTAGTGGCGTATCGTTCTGAAAGATGATATCCGCGGAAGCCACTATAGTGGCGCGTCGTGCCTAAAAGGTTAATTGAAATGCGTTAAAACGGCACTTTACACGGTATACAGTAAGACCCCGCTTAACGCTGCTCTTCTTATCGCTGTTTCAGTATTACGCGGTAGTATTGGGGTTCCCCTAAATCGCACACTGTATTGTGCAAATGAAACGGCCACGCACCAACCAAAAGCAGTGCACTATATGAGCCGTTTATTTTGAAATTGGCATAAGTCACTTTTTTTTTAAATGAAAAGATATCGTTCAATTGTAATTAGTGTTACCATTGACTCAATTTTTTTGAAAAAGTGACTTATGCCATTTTCAAAATATATATATAAGATGCGTTCATATTATGACTGCGACTTCGGGGAATACAGTTGGAACCTTTATCCTGGACAAACTAACAAAAGAGCGTTGGAAATATATATATAAATAAATATATAAAAAAATATATAAATATAATATATATTTTTATATTTGTTATATATATATATAACAAAAGAGCGTTGGAAATATATATATATATATATATATATATATATATATATATGTGTTTGT